CGCTAGGCCGGTTTTCCTGCCTCGCTGGAAGCGGCGGTGCTGCCGTAGAGGGCCGGGGCGGGCAGGGCGGCGCTGGGCCTGCCGTCCGCGCCTTTCTGCGGCCGGGTGGGAGCCCGGGAAAAGCGGCTGCGCTTGTGCCGAGCCCTCGGCTCTCCTGAAAACCACACGACTCTTCAGCTGAGGGAACAGGCGCCGTGTTTGCAGGTGGTTGCTGGCCGATTCGGCGGGCTTGGTGTTCCTCCTGTGCCTTGGGTTTATGCTTGGCAATGCCATCCGGGCAAAACAGGAAGAATACAGAGGGAGCAACAACAGTGAATATTTCCTGCCATCTGTCTGCAGCTCAACTTACTTTTGGCTGTTGCTGGCAGATTTCCATCAGCTTGTTATTGTCAGCTCTAGAAAAATGTCTCTAGAAAACCAGTTGACTATACGTATGTATGTAGGAAAAGCACTATGACAGTGGAAGTTTGAGAGTAAATATCAGAAGACTTTAGCTGATGCATGTATGTTTGTGTATGTAGTGCCTCAACATGTGTGGCGGATAAATTTGGATACTCCAGAGGAAGCTCATCAAAATCTCTCTTTTGGTGCTGCGGATCGCTGGTGGGAGCAAACAGATCTGACCAAGCTGATACTCGCCTCAAACAAACTGCAGTGTCTTTCAGAGGATGTCAAACTTTTGCCTGCGCTCACTGTTCTGGATGTAAGTACCATGATCCTGTTATGGTAGGACTGTACTCTCTCTGTAAGAGGTGGGAAAACATGGTCTTAGATCTTTGTTTTCCATTTCCCTGCAATGGTGGATGTGTAGAAGTGGCGTTGAGGTATTCTCAGGATAAAGAAAAGATTGTTACAGATCACTGATAGTATACCAATTTGTATGCTGGTAGTGGGTACTGTTCTGTAGAAAGATCTAGGAAGTTTTATTATGGACACTGAAGGAAGGAAGAGCTATTACTGGATGCAACCACCTTTCCTGCATGCACCCCCCTTCATATCTAATCTCTTAGCGTTTACTGTCAATTCAGTGGAATTTTGACAGATTGGCAGTTGCAGTGCTGCTATTGGTAATTGCACTGAGCCATGTACATAGCTACTACTTTTATACAAAATTATTCCATGTATTAGGTTAGCTTGATTTGTTTCTGGGGTAGGGAAAGAAAACCTACAAGGTACAAATTAGTAACTGTATTCTAAAAACTTTATTTTCCAGGTGCATGATAATCAACTGACATCGCTTCCTTCTGCTTTAGGACAATTAGAAAATCTTCAGAAACTTGATGTCAGGTAGGTACATGTTACAGAACTGGAACACGAGAAATATTGCAGTGACTTTCACAGTGTGAATAAGAGATTGCAGTATATAAAATTTTCTTTCAGAAAATTAATTTCAGATTTTTAACTAGAGAATATTAGTATATTGAGAATCGTAAGTTTTGGATCAAAACTGATGGTCTTAGGTTTGTTAAAATTATTTTCACTGATGCTCAAAGTCACAGTCTCCCTTGGAAGGTGAAAACAGTGGTATGTTGAATAATCACACAAAAGCAGTGTCTACATTCAATGTGCCTCCCTGGCAATTTTGTTTTAAAGGAACAAAAATACTTTTTGTCATGAATAATATACATTGGAAATAATTGTATAGCTCTTGTTCATGCTGGAAAGTCATATTATTCTGGTCACTGGAGTAATTTTGTAGATTTGTGCACAAGGAGAAAGAGGGTATGCTGCCACTGTGTGTGTGAACCACAGAAGAGAATGTAAGATCTAGCTGGAATATTGTAAATTCAGATGAGGATTAAAAGTAGTCTTGAACAAATAAACAAACATAATTAATTCCTCCTAGGAAACTAATCCATTGAAGAGGGCTGTAACAGTTGTAGGAGACAGATTTTTCTTAAAGGTGACGGTATCCCAAACAGCAAGCATATGTGCATGCTGTAGTGTGAGAATGTTTTGCAGAAGCCTGTCTCACTGCAGATGTAATTAACAGTTAGCCTGTGCCAGCACGGAACATCCAGTGTATCTGATGCTGGACGCGCTTCGTACTTGCTGGAGGGTCTGAAGAGTTTGTGTTTCAACAGGCTGTGTGTGGCTAAAATAATCTGGCTGATACAAGTGTAACTCTTTCTTTGGATAGCATCATATGTAACGGAGTGTTCTTTATGCATTTATGTTCTTAAAACTATTTAGTAATTGGGTTTTCTGTTTGTGTTCCATGTTTTAATACTAGCCACAACAAACTGAAAAGTATCCCAGAGGAGTTGATGCAGTTGCCACATTTGAAGAGCCTTCTTCTTCATCACAATGAGCTGAGTCACTTGCCGGATGGATTTGGACAGCTTGTCAATTTAGAAGAATTAGTAAATTACCACTTTTTGAAAAACATTTATTTGTTCAGAAAGGCTGATTTATCCATGTTTTGCTACTGCTAATGAAAAAAACCATAGCTTGGACGGCAGAACTTTGTGAATGTTCTAATGACTTGTGTAGCTTGTCAGTTATTACATGGCTTTTTTTGTTTGTTTGTTTGAAACTAAGTTTTGCTCTTGGTTTGCCAAATATTTTAAGAAAAATCAAATCCCTTGTGATCTGTCAGTCATGGGAGACTTGTTTCTTCCATTCACATTTCTACCAGGGAGATCCTGAAGACGTCAGCCATCTAATTTTAATGTTCTGCCAGTAATTAACTTTGCAGTAACAGTACTCGTGGGATATTTTAAACATCTCTATTTCTAACCTCTCTCTCTCTCTCTTCCTCTCTCTCTCTTTTTTTAATCTTCAGGATTTGTCCAACAACCATCTCACAGACATTCCAACAAGTTTTGCTTTGCTCATTAACTTAGTGCGACTCAATTTGGCTTGTAATCAACTCAAGAACCTGCCTGCAGATATCAGTGCGATGAAAAGTAAATTAGTTTCCTCAGATTATTAAATGACATACAGCCAGTTCTGTAGTTATGTTCAGAAATGTTATGAATATTAATCAGGATTTTAAAAATATATTCTTAAAGAGTTACTGTATTCTCAAGAATATTAGTTCAGAATTATTTAAAAAGACCAGCTACAGTCCTTGAGTCTTGAGACCTCTTATGGTTCATATTTCTTGATAAATGGGACACAAAATGATCAGAAAAGTGTAAGGATTAATACTGTTCTGCTTAGTTGTTGTTAGCCTTAAGACTGCAATAAGCAATCTGACAATTTTTTTTTTCTTTATTGCATATTTTGAGTGGCAAATAAAGCATAAATCAGAGAGAGTTGAAAGTATTGGAGAGAAAAAACCCATAAATTAGAGAGTGATAAAATTGAATTCTAATATTTGAATGTTAAATATCAAGCTGACCAGTCGTTGATGTGAAACGCCTATTTTAGTAGCTGTGGCAGATCTACAGGAACAGGTGGTAGACTGCCAGCTTTTATAAATGCTATAGAAATTACCTGCAGATCCTTCTGAGATGGTCTACAATATTAGACTCTTTCTTCCCTTCGGTCCCGTACTCTAAACAAGAGCTAGTATCTGGCAGCGTCATTGAAAGCATTCCAGAATGGCCTATGAAGAATAAATGAAAAGCAGATGCCTTGTTTTCAGAAATGTTGATGCTAACTGATTCGATTTCTTCCAAAATTCTTATTGGCAAAATGTTGTTATATTTATTTTAAAAACCAGGATATTTATGCTTCCATAGAAAACAATTTTTATTTTCTCTTTCTTTTCTGTTTGTCACTTGCGTGCTTACTTCTATAGGCTTAAGACAACTGGATTGTACTAAAAACTACCTGGAAACTGTACCTTCTAAATTAGCGACTATGGCATCTTTGGAACAACTTTATCTGAGAAAAAATAAATTACGTTCCCTACCAGAATTTCCGTCATGCAAATTACTGAAGGTAAGGTTTGAAATGGTTGGTATACTGTAAATGTATTTGCTGTAAACTTTTAAAATAATAGCTGTTACTTTAAACACAAATTTTTGTGAATTGCTGTGATCAAAAGTTTATAATTCTGTGTGTAGAGCTCTATTTAATACATCCCCATTTGTAATTACTCTTACTGTCCACACTGGTCAATCTTAAGGTCATTTGGAAGACAAATTTGCAGCAGTACTCTTCAGATTTGGAAAATAAAAGAAATATTTAGAAGAGGAATGACTGGAAAACTAGGCCTAATATTGCCTACCACAGTTATTTTTTATCTCTAGGAATATTTTCTGGATAAATTTACTTTGTTCACTATCATTTTTTTCTTTGTAACTGCAGAGAAACTATACTTTTTTTTTTTCCTTTTAGCATAGTCAAATCTTCCAAGTATTTTGTAGCCTTAATTCCTGATATGTTTAAAATTGAAAATCGCCTGCCTCAGAACATCAGAAATTTGTTACTCAACTAATAGAATAATGATTGGGCCAATTGAATGCCTGTATCACTGTGTTGTTTCCAATGACCAAATCCATCAAAGAATGCAGATACCTTCTTAGTTCTGCATAACTCTGAACTCAGAAGTTAAAATCCCAAGCTATTTCAGCATTTTCTAACAAAATTCGTGATATGTGAAGTTCAGTGTCTTAGTGTGTCCAGCAGCATGTGTACACTCTTGGTCTAAAGAACCATTTGATTTTTCCATTATAAGTGAAACATTTCCAATAGGGACATGGAGAGCTGCCCTCTCAACTTCCTGTAACTTGGAATTTAAGAAACTTCTTGAGCAAAGAAGTCGTTGACAAGTTCTTGACAAATGCAGAGCAAAGGTATTCCTAGCTTGGAAATGGAACTCAAAGCTGAGGGTTCTGTGATGGTTTCAGAAAAGCTAAGTTCAGACTTCTGTTTCTGGATCTTTGGAGGCTTTGATATTTCATATGCAGATGAGAGGGAATCAAGATCTGTATTTTCTCCACGATACCATATGTTTTTGCCAGTGCCATGATTCAGAAGATTAGTAAGTTATAAAGTAATTTTACTAGAGTAACGTAATTGTAGGTGATCTTTATTTCCATAGGAATTACATGCTGGTGAAAATCAGATTGAAATATTAAATGCAGAGAATCTGAAGCATCTGAATTCCCTCTCTGTATATCAAGATCTGTATTTTCTCCACGATACCATATGTTTTTGCCAGTGCCATGATTCAGAAGATTAGTAAGTTATAAAGTAATTTTACTAGAGTAACGTAATTGTAGGTGATCTTTATTTCCATAGGAATTACATGCTGGTGAAAATCAGATTGAAATATTAAATGCAGAGAATCTGAAGCATCTGAATTCCCTCTCTGTATTGGAACTTAGAGACAACAAGATAAAATCAGTTCCTGATGAAATTACTCTGCTTCAGAAGCTGGAGCGACTTGACCTCGCCAACAATGATATCAGTAGGTAATATTAAAAACTGCATTATGTCTGTGATGAGGCATAGCTAATGACATCTAATTCTATAGCTGATGTATTTCACTTTGTAAAATGTAATTAAAAAGAGACTCAATCATAAAATGAAGGAACCGTTTCTATATTGTGTAAATGCTATGATCAAACTGTGCCTTTCTTAAATGTAATATATTCTGTATCTTTTTATTTGAACCTGAGCTTTGGAATACCAGGCTACCTGACAAACCATTGCAAATTCTTTAGAATTTGTTTTGAAGCTGCTTTGAAATGAGTTTTTTCCATTTGCAGATTGCCTTACACACTGGGGAACCTTCCTCAGTTGAAATTCCTGGCATTAGAGGGAAATCCTTTGAGAACCATTCGAAGAGACCTTCTGCAAGTAAGCACTGTAGACAATATATAAAGTTTGATTATGTCACATATGTACGTTATCCAAATTGTGTAGACAAAACATTTAAAACAATTAGAAAACATCCAGATTTCAAGTAGCCTGTGCAACTTTAATCCATCTCCTTTGTTTGCGTGTGTTGTGGTTCAGGTACTCTTTCCACTGGAGTCTGATGCAATGCATAAAATCATGAGGACTGTGGAATAAAGGAAGTTGTTGCTTTATAGGACCTGTTTCTGATTTGCTACAGAAGTTATAATATATATTGCAAATGAAGCAATGGATGCCTGGGAAGAAAAGGATAAGGCAACTGTCTGCTGCCTAATCCTGTTGCAATCACAGTTCATTGCAGTGCTAGGCGAGTACTTTACATCAGGCTTTTCCTAGATGAGCATGGATTTCTGTTCTTCATTTCCTACTTGCCTGAATTAAGGATCTAGGTTTCGATTTCCAAAGTGTACTTGATGGCAGATGCATTTTGAGCAATGACATTCTGATGTACTACGTTTTCTTACGGATAACCTACACCTCAGATCTGCGTTCTCTCTGTAGGTAAACAGCAAAGTGAAGGTGTGAATTGTGCATGAGAAAACAAGTACATAGGGCAGCAGGGAGGCTGGGGCGTGGGCACTACTGCTGCTATAGAATTCCCTTTTATTTTTTCCCCAGCAGGCCCCTCTTCTCATTGGTGGTATACATTATTTCTTTCTGTGCTTTTGCCAGTGTTGTAAAAGAAATGTTTACAAAGTACTGGGATTCGCTAAAAATAAGCAACACTGAAGACTCAGTCTTGAAATGAAGTTTTGTAATATCTGTCAGAAGAGGGAAAACATCGTGTATCTGATTAAGTGAGCATTGTATGCACTAAATTAATGAGCAGGGGTTCCGTGGATGGAAGTCATCCATGATTCCAGAGCTCAAAGTTGGCTTAAAATGTACATGCAAAAGAGTCTGAGTTAGTGCTGCCTGGCTACTTTAGTTTTGGTATTCCCTAGATTCTGAGGCTTTGCTGTCTTTCAAATGTAAGAGCATAGTTGTGTGTAATTTCTTGTGTATATTTCAAATTTGTAGCAAACGACAGGTACAAGGATTCTATTATGAAATTTGATATTTATATTGTCTTGATCCATTACCAACACTGTAAATTCATATAACTGGAATTTTATATGCCTATCTAGATTTTTTTACACTTGATTTAGAGGAGCAATTGATAAAGCTTGTAGGGTTCCCCAGACACTTCTTAGCAGCAGGTGAATACTGAGATTAAGGATTGGCAAGGACTGGGGGGTAAGTATAGTCTAGCAGGCACAGATTCTTCTCTTGTCCATCCCTGCTCCGTCTCATCTTTGCCTTTTCTTCAGACCTCTCATTCAAGTCCCAAACTCACTCTTGTTTCTTGATAAATTTCCAGTCACCTTCTGTTAAATCCTAGTCTCTCCTTTTTGCGTAACATACCATCACCTGGCTGTTGAGCTTTGCCTTATTGTCTGCTTTCCTCTCTACGCAAGCCACGTGACTGTTACTCAGCTTTCTGTTTGACCTTCACCTTTTCCTTAAAAGTTTCCAGGTTCTTCCATATTGGCTTCTCTTGTCTTGCTCAGCTCAGCATGTGCCACGCCTAGCCGTGCCTGCAGTCAGTCCCAGTCTCCTCCAGCCTCTCTTTCTCAGTCTTTTGTCTTTTTCTGTTGTCTCACCAGGTTCCTTGTGAGAGTTCCTTCTTTTTCCACTTCCACATTTCCTTTATCCCCTCTGCATTCAGATCAGTCAATCTCTTATTGTGTGTAATATAGTTGTCAGCTAGAATGAGAAGGCGCTTCAGGTCAGTCCCTGGTTTTAAAGCATCAAGGAGAAGCATGTAAAATTGTAAGGAAAACATAGCTTTTTCCTAAAACAAATGGGCTGGACAAGATTATGCTTAATTACTCATAGATTATGCAGACAGTAACTGTGTTTGACCAGTAGAAGTTGCTATCAGAGGATTGAAGGTCATTGGAGAATCCAGCTGTTAAAAATCCATGCAAATTATGTGAACTGCAGTGTTTTTCCTAGAGTTTATAATTTTGGACACAAAAAGTTACCTGAACACTGAACAGTCAGCTTCTTTGACAAATTTTAAATTTCTTCTCCAAAGCGTAATTGCTTCAGACCTTTTTAAAGAGAAGATTAAGTTTATTTGAACAGTTTTTCCTTGCTCTTGGAACTAGCTAACTACTTTAGATAAAAAGCTAAAAATGTGGAGCCTAAGGTAGTGACACAGGATTGGAAATTTTCAACTGGAATAAATAAACAAAATTGTAAATAAGCAAGTTCAAAAGCTGCTGCAAAGAGGGTTTTTCTATGGGAAGCATTAGGTGGCTTTTATAGTCAGCAGTGCTATGGGCTCCACCTGTGTGACTGGAACTGTCTTTCTTCATTGTCAAACAGCTATATA